GCTGCAGTCCATTGCCACAAGATCTAGAAACACTCATTGTGAGAGATCCAGGGAGGACCGATTGACCGACTACAAGCGCCCCGCCCCTAACCACGAGGAGGAATCTCAGAGCAAGGAGTGAAGGCAACATGTTTAAAGTAGATGTGATGGTTTTCACCTCTGACCAGTCCGTTGACAAACTGCGTTTCTCATGAATCATGACGGGAGCGCGGAGAATCACAATAGACGTCACTCTCCGACACCCGCCAGGGGAAATGCCCGGGAGGCTCCGGATAAGCCTGAGAACGTTTGTCCGGCGAAGTTGTTCACGCCCGGTCGTTTTTGTGGGGATCGAGATCGATTGCAAGATTGATACAGGACATGTCCACTCGAAATCATTCGACCGCATGATTCACCAGTCCGGGCTAGCTCAGCTTCGGAATATTGCTCGCGTATGGCTTGCTTCAGAGCCGCAATAGCAGCCAACTTACCCATGGGGATGTAGGCGAATTCGACGAGTCGTCGGAAAACGAGAAAACCGCTCGGGACACATAGGCCCTTTTCGATTTGCTCATGGAGCTGGCGGGAAGAAGGTCCGCAATGGGATTCGACCCTCTCTTCAATTTTCTCCATACTCGAATAGGACAAACTAAACGAGCGAAACAGCTTTGTTGAAAAAAAGCAGAAGAGAGAGCTGGCGGAAGCCCTCCTCGTGACCTGATCTGACTGCGGGGTAGCTCACCGAAGTGGAAAACTCGCAACGCGGGGTGTTCGAGGGTCAACCATGTTCCCTGTTCTGTTCCATACCTATTCCCAGTATATTGTTCGTGTATTTTTAGCGGGCAATTCACAGCGCTTTGAGTAGAATCATCAAGTCATATGTAGTTGCTCCTGATACAAGCTCTCTGTCTCTCTCAGAGCTCCCCTTAATCCTGACTCAGAGTCTTACGACTTTCAGAGCATGGGTTTCGCAGTCAACAGATGCGATTTGGCTTCCGCGTCTTCAGGAGATGGATGGACCCGATCGTCGTGAAAAGGCCGATTCCCTCAGAGCGGCCCTAAGAGCGGAGACATCCACGCAGAACACGCCAAATTCGAGCTCCGAACCGATCGAGCCACAGCTCTGAGGCTCCCTAGGTGGAGTTGCCGAGGGATCTCTTCGGGAGCTAATCGGTCTGTGGCTCCCAGCGACAATTCCACGACATTTTTCGGCACTCGGTGGAAACCTCGCCGCAGTCACCATCGCCGCAACGATTTGTCTCGAATTATATTATCAGAAGCACGTTGCAGCGATTTGCCAATTTCCGGAGCCAGCGTGGAAACCACAATTATCGAGCGAATTGATTTGGCCTATCGCAGGTTTCTCTGTCCGAGGAAGAATGAAGAACACACAGCCAGTTGCACGTGGACTTGACGAATCGACCCAATCGGAATGCTTCCTCTCTTTCCGACTTCCCACCGTGGAAAATTTATCAATTGAATTAATGCAAACAAACGAGTCCTACTTTTGTCTTCGCTAACTTTCTGAGTTCACTTGGGAATAGGTGACACAGAACAAACAAGAGGGTTCAATCAGAAAGTTCCGTCGGCTAGATGCGCTATACTTTTCCTGAGATTAATTCGGAGCGAACTTCCAGGAGGTATTTGTTCCAGACTGAGCCCGTGTGGGGCATGGAGACGTCTTGAGGATAGGTACCAAGCTATTCCCAAAAGCAAGGATTTCGCACTCGAAGCCTCCCCGCGTTCTGGGATTTTGACTTGTCAGGACGAGCTACAACTTACGTAGTTTGACACATTGATCAATTACAGATGATAAATGTCTGAAAGAATGAACACGAATCGGTCGACTGTGTCTTAGTGACGAAAGTGACTCCGGTCCTATCTCTGTATATCAGTCTTCGAGGATTCCAGGCCTTTTTTGGAACACAACTGCGTACAGTGTACATACATATATGTACTCAGCCAGTGACTCCCCCAGCTCTAGACCAGTCATGGACGGAGTCAGTAGAAGGCTCCGGAAAAAGGCTCCTGGTGAGCGGTAGCTCCGAGGAGGTCATCTCGATCACACTGACTTATTTCAATGAGCGTTCCCTGAATAGAATCAGCGTTCTCTCAGAATCCCGACTTCAAATGCGCATTATTCATCAAGCCACGCACTCCCCCATTGGCGTGGACTCTCCGCATCCTCCATTCACTTCACGCTGGCATTCGCTCGAAAGTTCGACGATTCGGCACTCATATCCTCCAAGGGCATCATCGTCCTCGCGAAATGCGCGGGCAGAGTTTCGAGAAGATGCATGATTGTAGGACGTGCTTTCTGTGTGCGTAGGTTCGCGCTCTCTAGGATTTCTTCTGGAAGTTATCGTACCAAGATATTTGAGCGCACGAAATATGGGTAGTCGTCTACGTCCGGCGAGGCCTCGGTAGGGGAGCTTCACGGTCGTCCGACATGAAAAAATCACCAGGGCAAGAAAGATGGGAAACGCAGGATCTGACATCGTCGGAGACGTGCCACGCTTTCCCATCGAATGGGCCCGACACGATCCCGACGATCATCCATCTACGAACCTACGTCATTCACGTGTAGGAGGCCGAATTGATATCGGTCAGTCGTTGCGACAGCGCGATGCATCGTAACTAAAAGACTGTTTCACTATGAGTGAAACGAGACGCATCTGAAACCCCTCTGAGCGAGCTTTGGAACCCCGCGGTAACCGCACCCCAACTGATCGTATTCGTCCTTTCGAAGATTCCGAGTTCCCGGCCCTGCGCGTCTCGGCGGCAGAATTTCTTTCGTAGACGATTCCGCCATTGAGGACAAGTCGGACCGAGAAAAAGCTCGTTTCGATTACCACAAGTATATTGAGGACGTCGGACCACTAAGTGCCTAAGCCAAATCAGCCTACCAACCCGAATGAGATTCCTCGGAGACTCTGCTACTCCTCGGAGACTTGGAGGAGTGCTAGGATAGGAAGACCGTTCCTGCGTCAGATACTGCGGGGATTAATGCCCACGGTTGATGGCGTCTCAATTAGAGTGGATGAACCCGAAACTAGTGCGAGATGGGCGATAAGTGCGCAAAATTGTATGTCCCCGCGCGTGGAACAGCGGAGATTTCCTCGACAAAGGTCGTACGGCCCTGTAGCTGGCGGCCCGACGGTCGAGGCGCCTCGTTGATGCGACAATATGATAGGTGTATCAGCATGCAAACCTCATTTGCAATCCGCAGCGCGCACTTCAGGCAATGCATGATTCATAAAGTGCGGAAGCGATCTATGGGCCACAGATTATCTGGATGGTCGTCGAGCGCGAGCTAGGTTTAGAAAGGGAATCGTTCGGTCCGACCTCGAACGATTCCGATCGCTAGCGGAGGCCGTTCGCGAACCTACATACTGTCGTCGCCTCCATGGATGAGGACAACTCCCTGAAATGTAGAAAAGTTGCGAAAGGGTCTGGAGAGAGACCCAAAGTTCTCCTCATGAAGTTCGGATTACCGAGCCTGAAATCCTGATTCTCTGCTTGACAACGCGGCGGCAGTTCCCGGAAGCCTCTTCAATCAGTGAATGAGGTGGGAGCAAGACTGCCTAGGCTATTTGGAGTTACAACGATGCCCGCAACGGAGCGAGACCCCGTTATGCTTAACGCCAGTAGGAACAATGCATTGTAAACTGAGACCCAATGCCCGGCCGAAATTCCGTCAAGCACTTATATCGCTCTTATTACGGTCGAGGGACGTGGACCGAAGAGTCAAGAGCGCAATCGCCTTCGCTGGGAATTTCGCGACCGCGCTCCTGCCCGTAGGATTCGCCGGACCGGTCCCTGTGAATGGTGAACCCGAACCCACAACCTAACCAGAAAAGGCGAACACGTCCGGGAGTTGGATCGCGCGTCGCTGCGAGAAACTCCGCTACCTCAGTCAGAGATAGACGGAGTGAACTTCCGACTGCTTGAGTCTCTGAAATCTCTCTGTTCCGCAGGGCTTGTAGCATCTACAACGCTAATATTGATTCCAACGGTTGCTTGGTTTTCAGCGGCTCGCGATCGAATTCCGATCTATACTGCTATGGAGTTGCAGCATTCAACTCAGTCAGCCGCGGACCCCTGCAGGTGAAACACGGTGAGTCAGACGAAAACTCGATCTCGGCGGGCGTAACTCGAGTTCGTTCTCGGCACCGGCCCTGCTAGGCTTCATCGGACAGTGGACCTTCATCGTCGACTTGCCGGGACGGGAGCGAAAAATTCGAAATTAAAAACTCTTCTTATATATTTGTCTGGCGTCGCGGAGGCCGATGACGTCAGTGGTCGAACTCGACTCCGATGGAGTGTTGCTAATCCCCTCCAAAGCACCGAATCAGCCTGAAGTTATTTAGGAAACACCACCAGCATCCTAACCGACCGAGAAAACCTCACGGAGTTAGAAACGAGGACGAAACCACGAGTAGAAGCTGTCTGTCGAAGACGCCAATAATCCTCCCGCGTGAGACGGGACTGAGTGATTGCCTGAAGCATTGTTCGACACTGCTTGTTATCAGAAAATGAGTCGGCTTGGAATGACGGCTTTTTCCATTTTCCTACTGGCGATTGTTCCGAGCGGAAAACTTGAAGAATTCGCTTGTTCAATTTCTCGCTGCGAGCTTCTCTATGCTATAATACTTTCTCATGAGAGGTGCATGGTCCGCTCGTTCTCGTACCGAGAGCTTTCACAGGCTCCTGCGACAGGAAATTTCCACTCGCTCGTCGGAAATTCTCAAGCATTCACACCTCTCTGCCTCGACAGGAATAATCGAAATTCTGTCGCGGGACGAGACGCGCGCCAGCCACGAGGTGCAACGAAAAGGAACAAAAGATGGACTGGGACTTACTTCAGCATGACTGACTGCTTTATTTTCTCTTTCTGACAGCTCACGAAAGTCGATGAAACAATCATGCGATTTAGTTTCTTGAGGGCTATATTACACTTGAGTACATCACAGGAATTCCAGCGCATTTACGTACAAAGTGGCTCCGCGCTCGAGAGTCATCGTTCGGAACGTCGGATATAAAATCTCTATTATACATTTGCACATCCAATCGATGAGTTCCCTTGCGGAGGGAAAGAAATCGAATTCCTCCCATTGTTTCAGAGTATGTATTTCGAGAGCGAATTCGGGACGCGGGAGGGAATGCGTCCTCTGTTTTCCTCCCAAGAAATAATTCCGAATCGGAATAACAGCAGAGAACCTCACAAGTCGGTATGATTCCTCTGTGAGCAGAATGCGCGTCGATTGTCGCGAATCTCGATGCGTGTTTGAGCTCGAATTCCTGTGAGGCTAATTTCAGGACCTCGTTCCCGACTCCGAAGAATCCAGAACTTCAGGTACTTCGGATCACAACAGCTTATTGAGCGTTTGAACTCCCTGCGAAAATTGAACAAGGTCTCAATCTACAGACCGATTTCGACAAGAGCAAGCCCAGTAGAAAGTCCTTATCGATAATAATTCGCTAGGAGAAGTATTGGGCTGCCCTATCTGCTAACCGGAAAGGGATTCTCTGTGCTCCTCTTCGTCTATTTAGTGAGCATAATGTGATTTCCCCGGGATGCCCCGAGCTGCGACACCCACTTCGGCTATCATCTCGACGATTGTATCTACAATATTATTGACTTACCTGCAGAAGTTTTTGTTCATGAAGCAATACGTGACTGGATTGCAGCACGACGATACGTACGAAAGCAGGTGGAAAAGAGAGATGCCTACACCGCCCAAAGGAGTGAGCAAGTCCTTCGAGAATGACGCGATAGTGTTGATGGCGTAGATTGGAGTCCAACAGACAAAGAACTCCAAGACCTGCGAAAATAATTCAGAGTGGGCTCCACACAGAGACCGAGGCGTTGATTTCCATAGAGCCTCCGACAACAAAACGAGAGCGCTCGCATGGAGTCTTCCCAGAACAATCCGAGCTGGTATGGGAATATGAGATGAGAGCCAGAATGGCAGAAAGAAAATCCGAGCTCACTCACCACGACAAACACCATTCGGATGACTTTCCGGCGAACCGCCATTCGTTGCTCGTTGTTATTGGTGCGCAGGTAGCGGATCATTTCCTCGCGAGGCGTGGGAGTGTAATTAGTGAATTGCACAGGAGCTCTGAAATCGTTACAAGAAAAACTCCCGTGTGTCCGGAGAAGCTTTAAGAGGGAAAGCTTCTTTGAACCCCTCCGATATCGAATCAATGACACTCCCACGTACTTGTCATGCGTCGAATGCGAACTAGAATCAGAAGACGCAGGATTCGCGGCTTTGGGGCGATCCACGTGCCCAAACGACGAATCCGATGAGTCCTCGTTCTGAACCTTGCACCACTTTACGATGAGTCTCGGTTCTCGCTCGATCACGTTTTCAGGAGTTTTGTTGTTTACCACTCCGATGCCTCTGGGCCCCATGAGTTTGATTTCTGTTGGAATGAGGATCGGCTTGTGGTCAGAGTTTACTGCGTCTGTATCGTTGAGATCTTTCCGGAGCACAAGACGCATGCTCCCCTCGTAGAAGAAATGAGCTGCCTACCGTTTGAGCCTTTCTCGTTCTCCCGGATGCCTTTGCGTAGAGTGACCGTGATGTTGATGTAGGCGAAAGCCATCACCGTCAAGGGAATAACTAGCAGTAGAAGATCTAATAGAACCGTGAACGCTGACTCGACAGTCGGATTCGGCCAATCTTCCCGGCATTTCTGTCGCCCTGTTCCGAAATAAAGTTCGACGCTCATGTCAGCTCGATGATTCTTGCAAGGATCAGGTTTGGATTGGCGTCGATCAGAATGTAATGCCGACCAGTCTAGCCGGGAAGCCATACGCGCACAATTGCAACCACAAACCGTATCCCGCCGGCTGGAGTCTGTTGACGTAGAAGATAGGCGTCATGCTCGTCAAAGCGAAAATCCAGATGATAACTACGGAGTGCCAGGCGTGTGTTGAGGCGTAAAATCCTCGCGACTTGAGCGGTTCACACACAGCGAAGTATCTTTCGATAGAGATCATAACCAATGTCCACGCGTTCACGGCCACGGTAACCCCTGTAGAGAAGCCGGTTCCGCCGATTAGCTCTGCGAGGTCGTTTGCGATAATAGCCTAGAACTCAATCCACCCTTATTTTGTCTCCGCGAGACATGTCTGCCGTCCAGGGACCGAGGTCGGATTTTTTTTCTAACGAGGTCGATCGTTCGAGCGAGAGGAATCTGTTTTTTTTCTCTTCCCGCCCGAGGGACTAGGTCAACTCGCACGAGTCCCCGTTGACGGAACACTCGAGCTCCTACCTTGTAAGAAGGGGATCACTTTGCACATTAATTGGCCGAAAATGAAATTTCGCAGCAGGAATCCCGCCAATGTGAACGGCATGCAGAATACGCCCAGCAGGAGATCACTGATGGCTAAATTCAACAGGAAGACATTCGTGGCCACCTGTAAGGAGTAAGGATATTCGAATGAGGTCGGAGGATTTCCCACGTACCGAGCGACCGAACGACCTGACATCTTAGTTTTCGTCTAGGGTTTATGACTCTGATCCCAGGATAATTGTCACTTCAAGCTCCTATCTCCTCCTGCCTACTGCAGCCTTGTCGACGTCCTTCTCGGAAAGGCGAGGGGTTCGCATCACATCACTTGCTCCGAGACGGGAGTCTAAGGTCTGGGCAACGCGGAGATCATTTATGACTGCCGTCTTCCTTGCAACGCAGGAGAGAAAGTATCGTCGGCTCGAGCTGCATCGCGTCGCTCTGGTGCCGCCTCGCGGACTCAGGACGCATTAACCATACTGGCACTGTGGGCTGTCGTCAGGATGTCTGGATCGCTTTCTCGACTACAATGAAGCAAACAAAGTGCGCGACGAGTTGAACGACACCCGTATACGTCCACAGGGACTGCGTTCACTGACCGCTCGTCTCCTGACGCACACTACGGGAGCTTGCGTCTATTCACGCGAGATGCGCACTGTCTCCTCATTCGAGGCTATTCCGACCGTCACTGCGCCGGCAACGCCTACCCTCGACCGAGCGCACGCCGCACAACTTGTCATCAGCTGCCGAAAGATAATGCTTTTCTTCACGCCTCCGGACGAACGAGGGACACGAACCTCAAGGAGAATTAATTTGAGAATATTAGCTCAAAGACTTCGATGGCCTCGCAATCGCCGTAGCCTCTTTCCACCTGCGGAAACAATACCCGGACAACGAAGAGTCGTGCTTCTTCGCCACCCTCGGCCCGAGCGGCCCGTTGCCGAATGATCAAACGAGCCTCAGAGGGTCTATCGGGACGAGTGTGATTCCGCTCTGCGGGGTCCGTGATTGAAACACGTCTCATTCCAGAGAATGGTCGGTTGCTCTTTTTTGTCACCCGCCATGAGCTACCCGTGACAGGGAAACAAATATCGCTATGTGGGCACACGAGAGGAAGAAAGCTCTGCCGGTGACAAGCGTGACATCGCCGGTCTATGCCCTTACCAGTTTCTTGTAATATCCGGATCGGCGCGGTGAGAGGAACAATCTCAGCTCGTGGAGAGGGTCACCATTTTTAACCTCTTGTCGGTCACACTCCGGATCGGAACCAGAGGTGTACGTGCCGGAGGAGACTCCGTCAAGAGAGAACAGGGCTGGAAGACCCCCGGAGAAGGCGGGAGCGACTGAGAATATTTCCGAACCACCTATCTCGTTCGCGCTCCGCCGAGGCCAGGGGAGGAACCGTTCTCCAGGGGCTTCTGAGAGGCTAGTAGAGCCTACAAGCTGTCGTTCTGGGAGTCGCCAGAGAAGATGAGTGGAAGTTCGAATGGTGACACAAGCTGTGACCCGATCGACTTCATTAGATCTTATGTTCCGATCCGTCGTCGATTCATTGCCGATGCCGAGAAAATTCAATATGGAACATTCTCGTTTGCAATGGATTGGCGAGGGAGATCTTTCTTAGAGGTGAGCATCTCCGGAGCGCAGTTCCTTCGATGATACCATGAAACCGAGCGAAGCGAAAACCTCGAGCGTATCAAGCGGAGCTGATTAGATTAAGCGGATGAGCCGGGGGAAAGCATTCACGATCAATACCGGAACCCGAATTCAGTCTCATGAGAAAGAAATCGCAGAGGGAGCCTGGAAATACGCTCCCCCGGAAATACAATCCTCTCCACCCAGATCGCATCAAGTGAGGATGAGTTTCGTGTAGGAAGAGTTTCACGCTCGAATCCTGAGCTTCTCTCGGAATGGTCGGCTGGCGTTGCGGGGGTGGAAGAATGCAATCCGATTCCTCTGTGCTCTGTTTCCGTGTCCATGGAACCGCCGCGCGAATTGAAACGAACTATAATAGTTTTCGACGCTGAAGGACGATATCATTGAAAGCGCTCTGATCATTCAGTTCTCGCGCCGGGAGCCTGTCTTCGAACAAAAGCCGACGCTTCGGCATTACCCGCTCTGGGCTCTAGACTGTGACATCGGGCCACAGGGAGTCTATCTCGCAGAGAGCCGATGCTACCTAATTAAATCTCCCCCAACGGGCTCATGTTTGTCGGAACTCGAGACCCTCTTCTACGGAGATCCTCTGATGATTCAATCAGATTCCCTGGTATCAGATCACTGATTCAGAAGGTTTTTCCACGCTCGAACCACCTTCACTATGCATTGACGAGATGAGAATTCTAATTTCAGTAGCTGGAAAAGTTACAAGACTTCTGGCTCCCGTTCCCTCGCGTTGAGGCGCAGTGAGGAAGCTCCCCTTTGGAGGTTCCCATATCTTCCGAGACATTCTACAGCTGAAACATGATGTGTGGAATACATCTCACACCGCATCTCGGTTCGGCTTGTAAGGTTGAGGCTTACTGCGGGGAGTGACTTGTCACCGGAGCGCGATGCTCGCAGACGCAAACCATGAATTCGCCGCCGTACAACTTCCTAATTTCATGCCTCCCGCCGTGGATTCAGGTAGGTGATAGATTCTGATTCGGTTTCCTCACATTTTACGCCTCAACGATCCGCCCACAGACGCTTCTTCTGGTGCGAGAGTCGAGGGTCCGGGTCTCGACCGAGATCGGCTCCGAGAAAATGCTATCGAGTTGGCCGAACGATCCCCCTAATACGTTGGGAGGGTCCATGATGTTCGATCCCTCCACCTGAGGGCGTCCGCTCTCAAATATCTTCAACAAACAAATCTTAGGAAGGATGCGAGAGATCCATGAGGCGATGTGGAGAGGCTGCATTCTCCTCGAGACGAGCATCAGCACTTACGTCGAGGGAAAGAAGACCCGAGTTGTATCTAGCTTCGTCTACGATAACAGTGAGGGGAACACCCCTCTTGCTTTGCCCAGGGCCAGGACGTAGCCAACCAGAGCTCACAAGATGTTCAGCGGAACTAACAAAAGCTGTCCCACGTGTGGCGTAGGTATACGAGGAGACGACCGAACACGTCATCTTCGGATGCAACTACATCTATCACACGGGGAAGGAAGTCCTCTGCCGTTTCGGACTCCACGGAGGAGCAAATATTGCGAGTGGAGCAAGAAGAACAAAAATAATGCTGGAGGGAGAAAACAAACAACGATCTGCCGAAGTCTCGCGCCAGATATGAAAGGCTGATCGATCGTGTATATGCGAATTAATAAGATATGCATCTCAATCTTGATCACAACAAAGCATGGACCAATTAATCATTGAATCTCATGATTCCCGATGCTGGTGCGTAAGTCTGAGGTAATCTCCCTCCCGTCCCGGTGACGCTTAGTGTGGAGTATTCTTCAGCCAGGAGACTGACTCTTGAAGTTCAGCTCTTAGCGGGGCATCGGCTCTTCTGGACTCTGCTCCGAGAGATGGACGGAGTCTCTTCAAATAAGCCAGTGGTATGGGCATGATTCGTAACCATCTCTGTCCGATTGAGAGTCGAAGTACCGATGAGTTTTTTGAATCAGTTACTCATCATGTGGGATGTTCAAGTCAATCTAGGGCTTCCAGGCCCGCTAAGCAATGGCTAAATGCATACATCTCTGGGCACATACATATGTACGTATATGAGCGTGAGAAAACATAGGTCGCCAACAGAGACTGGACGTTGAAGTTGACAGGTGAGGAAGATAGTACATAGTGTGTAGGAGGATGCTGAGGAGGGAGCGAGGTAGCTTGTGATGTAAACCTTTCCGAATACACCCCCGGTAGTTATCAGACGGGGATCTTCTCTCAGCGGCGCCAGGTATTTAGTAGTTCGCGCGTAATGATTTCCAAGATTCGGCGGCGCATGATAGCTCCCATTGGCGCCTGGAGGATTGAAACCTTCAAATGCCGTCCGGACGTCATTGACTTGTTTACGTAAATGTCTAATTCGAGCTTTCGGAGCGACATAGCTTCGACACATCTAGAACTACTAAATAACAAAATATCATAAACAAGGAGCACATCGAAATAAACGATAGCGAAGAGCGACTTCTTCGGTGAACTTCGTCCCGGGCACCTGGGGGAATGTCCATCATTCATGTGCCTAGGATTGGTCCCAGTCCTCCAATCATGACACTGTGTGCACAAGGTCTCATACCTGAGCTAAGCCCACTCGTCTCACCCTCGTGCGGAACTCATGAAAACGATAAGCATACAGTCGCGGGATCGCCTCGGAAAGGAAGATAATAGGGGATAGGAGGCGGTATGGGGTTGCGCCCGTCCCTAGAATCTTTGCCTTAGGGGTGTGTACGCGGAATCGGTAGTTCGCGAGGATTGCCCTATCTCCTACCTGAGTCGGGAATTTCTATCTATCTTGAACCAAAGGCACTCCCTCGATGGCATACTCACCTTCCCTCTCTGATTCCTAGTGAGGGTAAGAATGACGAGGGAATTCCCCACCAAACCCGTCGCGAAGATCGCTCCATACGATAGAATCAGGAGCGCTGAGTAGTTGAACTGCCACGAATCTCTCGATTGTACCAGAATGACCGAGACTTCGGCATTCAAGGTGGAAGCGGCATCACCTTCCACTTCGGTGCCATTCATGTTGAACTCAATTGAACCGTAGTCACCATCTGCGGACGAACACCGAAATTCATTCACCTGGACAGCTCATGATGTCATACTACATGCTGCATATTCGACAGATCCTCAGAATGTCTATAGAGTCCTAGACTCGGCACAGACTCTCTCGAATGGGATATGAGATGCATCTACGCGACTGCTCGTCTCGGTTGCACGGATGGATAGATTCATGGAGGAGCCTGATTGTTCGAAATTCAAACATGCGGCGAATCGGCACAGGGGAGTGAGAAATCGATCATAGACGGATGAAGTATCGGAACGAAGCCATGCGGGTTTTGAGGGAGGAAGGCAACAGGCATCATAAGGAGACGAGTTCCCCGAAGAAGGAAGGTCCTAGCAAAGGAGGATCTATAACGCTAGACACATGAACGCATCTATGAGCAGATGTATGTATACCGACATACTACCAATGGATCGGTCGGTCCGCTAATCAATGAGAGCTGGATGGAGATGGATCGCGCAGCTCCAGCGTTTATCTAGTATTTTTCCTCCCATTTGTACGCTCGAAAGCATATGCAGAGAAGGATAGGTGATATCTGAACGTACAAAGTCTAATGATAAGCGTCAGTGTGATTATTCTCGTGTTTCCTTCCACTTCTCGGGTAGAGTAGGTCATATTACACGGGTAATCATCTGAACCCTATTAGGAGCGAATTGTGAATCTTAATGAGCCTGATAGCTCCGCATTCAAGATCTATTCAGCTGTGGTAGGGTTCGGAAGTAATCCCGTTCCGGAGAAAACATCTCCGGTCGCTGCAGCGGGGAGCTGAGGAGAGACCGCGGAATGTAAGCCTGCTGAATCTATTCCGCGGATGAACCGCTTTTTCCACATGCGGTTTGTCTGTTTTCATTTGTAGAGCTTGATACGGCGTCTGATTGACTCCCTGTGAGACTAATGAATTCCGGGATGATGCCGCATCAAATAGAACTCGATATCGAACGAGTTTTCGGCTCACGCCAGACCGAATCGAACCCATTACGTTCTGGCATCTGCCCCATCGTTAGAAGGCCTAGGCTGTCGACTCCTCTCGATAGTCTTCTGGAATACTCAACCGCTGCAAGGAATCCGGAGGAAAAAGCCCATGCGCTTCCGGGAGGGCTAATAATCGACAAGACTCTAAACCATTGAGTACCCTGAGGCCCAAAAGAGCACGCGGCGCTGGCCTTTCCAAGGCGGACTACATTCTGGACGCCGCCCATTAGACCAATCACAGACACGAGAAGGACTCCCGAAACAACGACGGAGCGGCGACCATAGATCACAGCGACGGGATCGATCTCGGTGCCTATATGCTGATTGAGATCCATTTCAAATTTTACGTCGGAATGCTTTCGTCGACATCCCGGATCGTCAAACGGGCGGGAACGAGCACGTCGAGGACAATCTCGAATCACCAGCCACCACGGAGTCATGGGGTATTCCTCTGGGATACACGTTCCTGGATATGCCTTATCGTTGAACCGTCCTTTTACCTTAAGGTCAGCATAGGCAGGTCTCCTTCAGGAGGAATTCTCAACGCAGGTAAATGTCAATGTCGTGCGGCTTATCTGCCCAGGGCGGAGTCCTTTGGCAATGTCAGCGAAGCTTCTGCTACCGCATCCGCTAGTTGCATTTTGGAACAGGCTGCACGGCCGACCGATCTGCATTGAAAATCTGTTCCAAGTCCCAAGAGAGCAGCCCGAGCGAGTTGACCGGAGTTCATCCAAAAAAAAACTTCGGGAATCTTCAAGTGGTCCCCGTCTGCGTGGGAGATTGGCCGCCCGTCCAAATCCGCTTCCAGTGGCAACTTGACATCCAGATAACATTATGCGATCCCCTGCGATTAGGACGTCTGGCGGAAGTCTGGAACAGCAGCTCCCGGAGCAGACGCGAATCTGCTGCGAAATACTCCGGAGTCATGGAGCCAGAGATCTCGGCATCTTTCGCTCGAGTTCCGAGTACCGACTGAGCTGAGGAAATCCTCACGATCACGGAGCCTCGGCCACTTGCGAGCCCAAGGCGGGATCTTCAGCCATCAGTCGTCAGATGGGATTCAGGAAAACAAGGGGGGCAATCGGGCGGGCGAGTCCAAGGCACGTGGAACACCCGCGGAGAATCGATTCGATACAAGCCTCTCCCTTCCGAGCGTACGGTAGAATAGAGACCAGCAGAACATACCCATTCGTATTCTCATTCGTACTCATTCAGAATATTTATAGTGACTGATCATAAATTCTGGCTCAGTGGGAGCGTTTGGTATTGCCGGTGACAGAAGGTCCGATATCGGATTCGTGACGGCGAGGAAAGCTGTCGAGGTCCGTGACAGGTGATTTCCATCCACGAAGTATTCGTGATCGTATAGGTCCTAGCGGTGAACTGCACTGTAGACGCCGATACAGTGAACCCCAATAAGTCCGCCCGTCGGAGAATAGTCTCCTCGCAAACGTCCAATACCCGTCCCGCGTCTTCATAAATCTCAAAGAACGGGACAGATATATCGGGAGGAGGTTTCCCTTGGAAGAAATTCCCTCATGCATGAGTGTCCCTGGGGGGAAATGAGGGAACTTTGCTTATCGATTAGGAACTTCTCGCCCAAAATACACTCCATGTCTTCGAGACGTAGGCGTCGTGAATCTCCGAGCCCGACGGATGTTCCTCGTCACTTTTAAGTATGTGGCGTCATTCCTGCAATGAATTGCTTTAACTGTCGGAAGCGACATCATCCGGAAAACTTCGCCTTCGTTGCTGTTCCCAAAAACATTGGGATTCCCATGTCGCCGATATAAGGCACAGGTACGACTCGCCGCGCCGCTTCGGAATCGAGTCAAGGCCCGTCCCGCTCCTTCGTCGACGACTCGACGTGATTTAATAAAGGAGATCCATCAATAGCATTCAATCAACCCATCGGCCAAATCGCCACCGCGTTTCATCAAGACATGAGTGGGTACCAGGTACCTTCTTGAAACTAATCAGGAATCTGTCTGCTCAATGGAAGCGGGCCTCTTTCCAAAGAAATACCTGCCCGCCCATATTGTCTAAAGTATTGAGGATACGAGGAGAAATTGTCCGCTTTCTCGGCGATTCCCGGAGACGAGCCACCACTCGCGACTGTCGCAGCTCCAGGAGCGATTCTCGCAAGCAAGACCCCGATAAATGAGTGTTCGACATCAAAGACGCTTTTCGCCATCAGCGGAAACAGCTCCCGCGACTAAGTGAGTAATAGAAAGTAATTGAGGAATAAATTCCCAACGAACATGTCCTCGCTCTCCGGTCGAGACTGATGGCTCTCTTCGATTAATTCACCTTGTTCACCTTCAGCTTCCCTTATCGTGGAGGTTTCCGGAAGACTCTGTTCACGAGGAGGTCCTGAATGAAAACACCATCGCTGGACGCAGGAAAAATGTCCCGTGCTCGAAATCAGAAAATCAGGTGTGCTCAATCAGGATACGGACGATATCACTTTTCGGAGCCGTTTTGAATCCGGCAACCACCTACCGACCCTTAGCGTAATGAGCGTTTCCCGCCGCAGTCTGTGAGCGCTATCCGTAGAGCTGGCAAACTTGGGGAGGTGACCAAGCTCGATCGCCCCGGTACGACGCCAGGTTCGGCCGAGTAGAGAAAATGATGTGCCCGAGACGCTGGCAGCAGGGGTCATGATATCGAGCGATGTTACCCTACAGAGTTGTCTCTGAGCACACGATCTAATTGAAATCTCGACTCAGCCGGGACCAATTGCTATCGGACTGTGAGTTCGATCGCATTAGAGCAGCAATTTTCGTTCATTTGCCCACGACCGAGCCGAGCAGATCCTACGAAAGACAATCTCATACGCGCTCTTATGGAGCTGAAGCCGCAGGGCTAACGTATTGTTTGTCTTCCGAATACGGGCACAACTCAATCATTCGCAACCGGATCCTGACCAGTCGGATTTGGTCTTCAAACGAATCTGTGATTGTTATCGCGAGAATAAACAGATTCGTGCCCGGAAGATAATTAGACCTGCCAGCTGCGGACTTCCCCGCAGCACGGCCATACATGGACAAAGCGTCACGCGAGGTTTCTCACAGATCTCAGACAACACGACAGAGGAAATCAAAGCGTCGTATCGAACAATGGGCCCAGTTCTCGCTCGCTATTATCGTTTCCGAAAATCGAATTGCTCGGACTCGTACCTGAGAAAACAGTTGTACTTATAGTGTGGAGCTTATCCCGGTAGCCGCGGACAGAAGTAAAGCCGCAAGAACGGATCAGAGCCACATACCAGTAATGATGGGGAGCTGATGATGAAGTCTCATTCGAGGATTTTGAATCACAAGCTCCCGAGTTTCCACGTCGACCCCGTACAGCCAAGCAGGATTTCAGCGCCGTGATTCCAGGCGAGATTCCTTCCGAGAACGATAATTCTTCCGGGAGACATCGGAATCATTCCGAAACCGGGCTCGACATATCGAAATGTCAACTTCATTGCCCTTTTCATTGGAGACAATACGCTCGACTGCGAAGAACGTCAGACAGCATCAGCAGAAAGCTTGGGAAACGACCCAGTCTATGTTTTCAGGCTCGATTTCCCAGGTTTCATCCTCGTTTCCAGCGGTCGCCGCGGCAGAGCATTCATTTCCGAAACAGAGTGCGGTATGGTGAGTGATCGCTGTCTCTCCGTTCGTAGGAGATGATTTCGGGGAAGGACTTCATCCAACCAGCGATCGAGATGGAGGGGCCCTCTTCACAACAAAGCGATACACGTGGCGTTGGCGTCGCTCCAAACCGGCCTGCTCGCGATTGTTTTGGTATCCTTCGTTGACAGACGTGCTGCCCAAGTTGCTCAGATCTCTCTTCGTGAGTAGTTTTCGGAAACTTTTCGCCGGGCTTCGAGCCTGTCCGGAGGGAATAAGTGTTTTGAGTGATTGCTTTTTGAAAGATACCCGGGGAGATTTTTCTCACTACGGTGCGCAGCTGTTGTTTGGAAGAGTTAAGGAGGCTGATCTTCGAGAGTCACACACAGAACTTCCGGAATGGGAAGAAAGATGTCCCGTCTCCCAAAAGCTAGCCGAGCGGAACGAATCTTGATGGTAATAATTTCATCATCCATCATGTATTCAAGAGGGTGAGCTCTCGAAGCTGCGCGAATCGCGAAGGAAATCAATATCGCGGAAACGATCTGATCACACAAGAGTCGCTCTCCAGGGTCCTCGATCCACATTCATGACCTGCCGATGCGCTGGTTCCAGCAGTTTCTGCGACCTTATCAACGTCACGAATCTGTTAGGCCTCTGTAAGCGAGGAGCCGCTGACCCGTCCGCCTGTACCCTGAACCCACAGTTTAGCACGTCTTCCGTGGAGTTCGGATCGGGAAAATGAGCTCGAGGTTGCGGGAGATTTCATCGTCTAGAGGAAGATGAAACGGAGAGATATCTGTGGCGGGTGGGAAATCCTCGATTCTTTCGAGACTCGTGGAACCAGAATCTCCGGCTTAGCGAGACCCCATGACTCCTTTGCGTCCATGACTCGAGCGAGAGCAGCCGTGGTGGGCGGCAGGAAAGACTCTCCCGTGTAGTCGTGACACTTACAATGGTGGATAACTGTCGATTATAAGTCAGCGAGTTTCCCTCGGTTTGCTGATCATCGTCCGGACTTTGGGTTCGCTCCCCAGTAGAAAGTTTCGCGAAGGGAACACTCTCGTCGGAATCGAATTTTCGGTTCGGGTCCTCAAACCTAACCGGCGCTCCCGTCGCAACTGCCATAGTGGGAAATCGATGGAGAATCGAACTCGATGGATCCTCAATCGGACAATGGGGGCTCCGCGAAGAAACCCAATATCGGAAAAGTCTTCCGAGATCAGCTCCTCTTTAGCGTCACAACTTGTTGCCGACTTCGGGCATTATTCGCCCAAGATTCGTCGTCGAAGCCTTCCGGCAACTCCATGGCTCGACTTCCAGAGTTAACCTTGATCGTCGAGGCCCGTGAGATCATTCTGTCGTCACACGTGAGCTTTGCTGTGATGCAGCCGTCGGGAAAAGGGTCTATCAGCGGCGGGACAGGAACCGATGGAAGGGATAGCAGTCGGAGAATGCGGACGGTCTTCGAGCGATCGTCGAGCTGGAGTCGCTGTACATAATTAAGCTTTGTCAAAGTGCATTTCGAAGGAGCACTACCACAAACAGTGTCACAGCATTTCCTCGTGAGCTCTGAACAGCAAATGAAGACAAAGCTATTTATACACACGTCGGGGAATTCGAGCCAGACGCCAAATGGGACGCACGAAAATGCGAGAGCCTGGTTTCCTCAAGCCGTCTTCCCTGGGGCGCCTGTTTTTTTTTGGTTTTTGATCAAGACAAGCTACTCATTCTGAAACCGCATAATCACACTTAATTGAGTCGGAGACTCATAACTGAACCCGTTCTGATTCAGGAGCCCTCGATGGACGAACGTTGCTACGTCTGAATTCTGTCGATTTTTTTTCACGAGCCGTACTACGCGATCGATGTCCGAGACCCGGTCTCGAACCTCCATCTCTAAAGAAGCTTCTCGTTAGCTGAACATCCGAAAAGAGACCGTCAGTTATTCAGATGTCGCGTTCGATATCTCGGCAAGAGAGTGGCCGGGTGGATCCGGAGAACGAGAGCCGCCTCCTACCTTACACTAGAGTGCTCCCCGCGACGAATCTCGGCGGATCGAGTGATGCTTATCGCAGCCTAGGAGAATACAAATGGCCGTATCGAGCGTACATGCATGAATACGTTGTGGGGAAAACACCGAGAACCGCCGAGGGTCCACTCTGAGCGGAGCCGCGTTCGCCCGCGCTTCGCCTCGCTGGAATAAAAGCGACGGAGATGCTCTCCAAGTGGAAAACACGTTGTTTTCTCGATTAGCGACGCAGTGAACGATTGCGGGAGTGGTTTCACCCTAATTCGAGTTCCTGAATGCGATGCTCTCGATTTGTTTCGAATTGAAGTTTTTCTTCAGTTTAACTCATTCACTTCCGGTGAGGGAACTCTCTCGGGTGTCTTCCGTCTGAGGATCGGCAGACGGTTGCACATTCGCGCTTCCTCGCCTCCGGACCGTCAGGTCGGGCAAGGGAGGGGAGGGGGCGGGCAAGATTCCTTTTGTCTCCACTGAATCCTGATTGCTTTCCGTCACCGAGAAAAAAGCGGAGCATCCGGTCTCGGGGACGCGCGAAGACTCGGCATCCACGCATGGATGATGCGAACGTTCCACTCTCCTTGTGTGTACATGCGACTCGCGCCGCAAGCAGCGGTTACGCTGTCCACGAACTCGAAGTCACGCGGCGTCGTTCGGAAGTTTATTCTGAAGAGAGCATCGGTGGGACATCCAAACAATGATGCGTAGATCATGTTCGATGTCAGTACCGCATACCACGGGGACGCCCTTCGGAAATGATGGGTATCGCGGAACGAGAATCCAGTCACGACGGGAAGAGTATTTATCCAAACAGAGCAGCTGAATCACACCATCGCTGGTGACAGACAGCTGTTGGCAGGTGTACGACTCCAAGTCCCGTATTTCGTAGATGCCGGCGGCATCCAATGGCGCGACGAAACAGAGGTGCGATACGTTCCGCATTGTCGACAGAAGAGACATTCTGACACCTTGTATCAGGCTCCAGATCGCGCGGAGATCTGCCCCGAGTTCCCGAAGAGCATGTGAGCGAGATTTCCTCCCTGGACTCGCTTGGAACTTGAAGTGATCCTGTTTTTCTGTTCTCAAGCTTTTGGGGGCGTTCTTGGGCATCGGTGGCGTGATTTCCATCATGGCGTGGTCCGGAAGCGCGGCGGTATCAAAGCAAAATTGAATTTTCGATCTGGATCCAGATGACAGTCCGCTCCAAGGATGGCGTGAGAACGAGCCTTAACTTATCGCCAACGCGAAACAAAGGGAGGGAACACTCGACGTGTCGTGACAGAAACGATATAAGGTCAAAGTCAACTTTTGCAGGTCGAATTGAAATCGCGGACCGGGAAAGAACTAGTCTGGGAGCGGAGCTTCCGGCAGTCGGGCCTGATACGTGGCACCGGGGTACGCTCGGAGTTTCCGGGAAAAAACGGAAGACGTCAGTTTCCCGACGATGATGATTCGACCGGGAAGAGGCCCTCTGCGGGGGACAAGTCACATCGCGCGACTCGCTCCGCTCCGCATTCTCAGACTATGCTCGCTTCTGAGCTCAGCGAGCGACATAGTTTGGCATGTGACCGAAATATGTGGTTGCGCTTGTCCTGCTGGAAATCTCTAATACCAAAACACACGATGTGACATGTTGCTTCATCGTTCTCTGCCCGCGTTGCCGGAGAATTGCGGCACCGGCAGTCGTGTCCTCCGTGGCGGGCTCTTACAGAGGAGACCCTGGCGGGAGGAAGCAAGGCGAGCCCCAATTCGGCGCGACAGTGTCGTGCGCTCGTCTCACTCCCGTTTCGATCGACGTAGTCGAACAAGCAATTTCGGGGATGATAAAACGGACACAGGATGTTCCAGTTTTCCGATGTCCCGCTCATATAGCTTTTCCTGCGGACTCTCATATCGCGGAATTCTGTTTGTTCTGCCGGACGCGACTCCAGGAACGTCTCGACATCCCCGTCGCTCGGTACCGTCTAGCCAGCCTTCAAAGCCGGGGAGTCGGACGTTCCGCCCATGAGGAAGATTAGTTGCACGGCGGAGTTGGCTTGGCCCAGAATGTTTGGAATCTCGCCGTCTATCCCGGGAGTCGGTCACTAGGGCTCCGTGGACCCCCGGCGAACGTGGCGGACCCCTCGCGGTCTACGATACCCCGCCGACGACCTCTAATAGTTCCCCGTTGAGCCCCTCTCAGAATGCGAAACCCCTCCAATTTACCCCGTGGACGCCACAGACCTCCTGTCGCGTAGCTATGCGTAATATTCGGGATCGCTCGATTGAAGATTCTGTGGAGTTTCACTCAGGCAGACATGTCGAACAGCCATGAAGTGAGTTTCTGGCTAGGCCGTAGACCTGGGGTCCGCCCGGAGCATTTTCACAGGAGGGACCCAGTCGGGTTGAAGCGTAGAGACAACAAGAGGCCTTGAAATCAAGGTGGCATGGGAAAACCCATGCGGTCCGCGGAGAGGAAATCGGAGCTTTGAAAGTCCGCGGACTCGGAAAGGCTGCCGGCCCGGCAGATGTCGGAGGGAGCCCTTGCTCATTCCGGAATATCGGTCGGACCGCTCTTTTGGACTCCGAAAAGATATGAATGACCGCTCCTCCCTCGGAGTAAACGAGCAGAGTGGGAAATTAACAGAGGGTCGGAGATTATGGATTAAAGCTGACCTTTCACCTTAACTGTGGCTGTCCGAATATCGCAGTATTCGGAATAGGCCATCGAGGTTCCCAACGGTTTCAGGTGAACTGTTCCCGATTTCCCCTGTCGAATCGGCGGAAGGGTCCCGAAATGTTCGCGAGAGTTTTCCATGGATTACTCGCAGAAGATCTGGAATCCTGCGAGCGGATCACTTGGGAACGTGGAATCTCTCCGATGGGAGACCTCTCTCGTCGGAATACTTCTCCAACACTTCCCGCTGCTGATCCCTCGCAATTTGGACTACGAGACGGATTCTCTGAACGGGGATTATTGAATATCGCCGGAGAACTTGACAAGAGAACAAGCGAACTGCTTTGACGAGCTCACTCCGGCGGTGCTTTTGTCGTGTCGGGACATAACAAGTTTCCGAACGGGGAACCAGTGCAAGTTCGATCAGATTGAGTGAAGGAGAGACTCTGTCAGCACAGTCTTCTCAAGAGACTCAGATATCGGAGGAGCTTCATTTGGAAGGAGTTCTTCAATCAATCTTCGGACGGGCCGATACCCGGAGTAGCGGTCTGCACTTCACATGCAGATTCTCACAAACTGAGTTGACGTTGTATCGCGCGGGAGGTCGCTGGCTCGGATACGACAGCCGGGAACCGGCTCGTGAAAAGCCAGGGAAGTATTCCCGCCGAGCCGCCGGGAAGCCGGCCACGTTCACCTTCGGCGACTGCCAGACTGAGTTCCCTGGGCCACGTCGATAAAAACGTGGTATCTGATGCTCGTCTGAAAAGTCCTCGAAAAGTCCCCTGGTGAGGAAAAACGGAGGCCAGAAGCAGAGGAGCGAAAAATAATCTTACACAACGATGGAATTGGTCGCATTAAGGCGAGGAACATCTGATAGGTCAGGCGGCTCACGCCGGATCAGCGCCTCGAAAGTGAAGGAACGAAACTTTCGAGGCAAACACAAGCGACATCAGATCGAATCCGGGCGTGGAACGAAGTTCTTATTGTATTCTCATCCCTCTCGAGAAGCAAGTTCAAGCCCCCGTCTGAGGGAATATCAACTCCTCAAGAAACGGAGTAGTTTGCACCCAAAGCTGTACAGCTGTTAAGTTCATCGAGGTCTAGACTAGACCTCGATTCGCATGGAGGCAAGGTCTAGACGGTCTAGCTGTTAAGTTCATCGAGGTCTAGACTAGACCTCGAAAAGGTTGAATCTTTCTGACGCTCACAGATTTTTTTTTTCGATTTATGAATTCGATCCGACTTCGATTCCGATCCGGTTTGATCGCCGGCGAGGTCGACGTAACGTACGATGGTGCCGAGAATTCTTCTTGAAAAATATTGGTTTCACAGTAAGTATGCCTGAATCATCGAAAAACAGCGCGAAACCCCAGTTTCCGGAATCCACAGTCGGCAATTTCTTGGAAAATTTCGGGATTCGATCGGGAGAGATCGAAGTGATAAAGCAACTGGTCAGCTATGACGACCAGAACTTCTATATAAAGGCAAGTCTATTCCGAATTCATCAAGGAAGGTCCCTCCGAGTCGGAAATTTATAAATTCTGATTGCCATCATTTGAGTCACGACCTTGCAGCTCTCGAATGGTCACGAGCACCTGTTCAAGATCACCAACAGCAATGACAGCAAAAACGTCCAGCTGATCAGTGAGTTCGACATTCTCTCGACAAGATCTTAGCTCTCGGGGATCGTGCTTTCCGGTTTCTTCAAGCTCCCGCCGCTTTCCAGCGGAGGTTACCCTGCTCATGGCACAATTGGCGAAATCGATACCCTGTTCTGTTCCCAAACAGATTCTCGGGGGCGGATACCTATCCCGAGTTCACGATGATCGTGGGGGAACGCGTAGGGAGTTTATCGCTCGCTTATTCGACTTCCTCCCAGGTGAGTCTGGAAGTCCGTTTCGGCAGGTAGAGGCGTCGGAAAGCATCATATGCTCGGGCATGATCCTCGGTGTGTCGATTTATGTCGAACCCCCTCCGATTGTACAATATCTCTGTGTTCCTCTTATGTGCGACTTGACGCTCCCGTAGGCAAGACGCTGGAAAACTCAGCCACGCTCGCGCAAGCGTACCAATGGGGAGAGCTTCTTGGTCGAATGCATGTCGCCTTCCTTGATATGGACTTCCCATCTATAAAGTCCCGCTCGTTTCTCTGGGACTGGGAACATGTAACGGATGCTCGCAAATTTCTGGACGTTCACACGGACGGCTTGAATAAACGTTCCATCGAAGAGGCATTCGATGCCTACGACAGAATATCAGTTGACTTGAAGAAGATGAAGAGAGGTTAGCGACCTCAGAACGATATGGCGAATCTGCAATCCGACTTATCTATCCCGGAAAGAGGAGTTGTTCTTCGACCTAAATCAATTCGTCCTCACCGAAGAGCTGCTCCATGGCGATTTGAACGAGAGGAACGTTCTGGTGAACTCGTCCGGGGAAGTTTACGCGGTACTGGATTTCGGTGATTGTCAAGGCGGCCCATTCATCTGGGATGTGGCTCTGGTAATCGCGTACGTTTGTCTTGCTCTCGAGGACGTCAAGAGGGACCTCCTCGAGTATACTGGACAGGCCCTCGCGGGCTACTGTCAGCACATGCCGCAAATCATTCAAGAGCACGGAAGCATTCGAGCCTTAAGGGTGAGTCTTTTCCTTTTCGGCATTCGAAACAGGTACGGGGTCGGGTTCCCTCATTCTCTCCTTCTCGGAGATCGAACCTGTAACTCCTGATTATTAATATGCTTTGGCTTCGATTGCAGACATTGGTTTGCGCTCGGTTCGCGCAATCCCTGACCCTCGGACTGCACAGTTTCAGAACTTCGGGGGACCCCTATGTCCTGACGTCCCAGAAAAATGGCTGGCCATCATTACATATGTTCCAAGAGGAACCTGAAGAAAGGTTTCGAGAAGTCTGGCAGGGGGCAGTGGCTCCTGACAGCGTAACCTTGAAATGACGGCCGACGCTCTCGGAGCAGTCGAGATTGTGCTATTTCGATGTCCGAGATCGTTGAAGTGGAAGTCACGATGGGAAGGTCCATGAGTCGCTCTCTCCCGATAGGTTTACGTAAATTCTGACTTATGTATTTTAAGAGTTTCCCGCGTCTATACGATCTGATTGCATGAGCCCGCTCTGGTTCTCACAATTGTGCACAAGTGACGCAATCGTTCCTGATGTGCAGGATATTTGTCAAAAAAGGGAAGAGTTGTCTTGTGGGATTAGGTAACGATCATGAACTAGTCCGGATCGCTCCGGAGCAGAAGCACGGTCCTGGAAATGAATCACAGATTCTCTCGCTGACACCGCCTTTTTTGTTCGATACGAAGAGTGTTGCACAGATCGGACAACTTTGTGACGCTCGAAGAGTCGATCCTTTTTTTTCAACAATTGACGTGAGTTTATTGAGCAGTTGAAGCGCATGATAGTGCTTGCAGTGAGCCGCCTGGCTCGTGGTACAATCACACTGAGAGGGCGTCAGCTTATGTATACTAGGTATTGTGTCGGCTGGGGAGGCCTCGGGAGGGGGCGGTGGCAATATAGCTTAGTAGATGGTCTTCATGATAGTTTCGGGTATGATACTCGAGACATGATGACCGATATCCCATGATCGGTCCAGATCCTCATTGGATGATTGGACTTCTCGAGAACGTCAACGAGCGACAGCAGAACATCCAGCCAGACAGAAATGTACGTGCAGAAACTTTCTCGGAGGAGTTATTCCGAAAGCTACGAAGTCGAACAGTTCCAGAGAAAAAGTTTGGCATCACGCATCGTGTGCATGAAAACTTACTTTTTGATATGCATCCAAAGAACCTTAACAGGACTCCGTTCTTCTTAGTCTCTAAGCGCCAGGACTGAGTTCGTCACTGAACCGCACTCTTGATGGGGAATCCACACTTTCCTCGAACTTTGGAAAAACTTTAAGGAACTTTCACAGAGCCACACACACCGTCCTCGAGCATCCAGTGCCCGATCCTCTATGACATCTCGGAAAGTCGCAGGTTTAACCCTGACGAGAGAGGGAGCCCGAGGAGGAGGGTCCGAACCCCTCAACTCCGATTCAGGGAAACACGTCAAGTCGAGAACTGTATTGTATTGCTTATTAGACACTGATTGATTCCGGAACCCCAGCCTGGCTTTGGGATGAGTTCTCAGATCCCGAGCCTCTCGATGAGGAAAATCAGTGCTCGATAAGTCTCATTCTATGGTAATCACCGGAATACATGGCACATAATCAGAATCGATGATCACCGCGCAATCGCTCGCAGACGGATGTGGAAATTTCGTGAATGGATGAGATTTCTCCCATAGTGCAGTCATAGAGCTTTTGACACTCTAAATTTTTATCGAATCCTTTGTCGAGGGAATGGCTCCGAGAGGCTGAATATCCGACGGAATTTCCCCGTTCAACCGAGAAAGCTCATTCCCTGCGAGACCATGATCCAAGCAGGCATACGATCTGCGAAGCCCAATAAACATCGTGTTGGAGGTCCTTTGCATGTGAATGGGGTTCTACTTCATACACCTCCTTATTCCCTGCCAGAGGATAATCTCGATAAGTCAGCAACAGAGACGCTCCGTCGATGCGGCAGATCGGGTCGGAGTTGAGCATCTCGATGCCGTTCCCGGCTCGCTATGATGAATCGAGACGCAGTTGCTCCAGGCCAAACGAAAGTGTTCGTAATCGAGTATTCCACGCGCAGTCCCTAATCGGAAACGGAGAGCGACGTTCGGCGAAAATCCTAGCTTCTGCGGCTGGATACGGATAGTTATCGCTCTTCTGCGTCTGAATTCCGCAACTCGATTTGTGCCTGCTCGTGGAATCCATCTGAGCGAGGTCCAACATTGCGAGGCGTGATAGCGGTGCGCTACTTTCGAGCCGGCGTTCGTCATCCCCCAAATCCGTATGTACAGGGGAAGTTAAGGAGGAGAAAGCTTGTAAACTTATTTAAAGAGGAAAACTACGCCACGGATCAAACGGCACCATTTTGACGGATGCCTCGGAACACCTCTGAGCAAACGCTCCGCCCCAGGGATCGTTTGTCATCTATTCGCTGTAGCGCTCGAAAAGTCGGTTCCTCGTTGTTGTTTCCATGTTTTCTCCCAAGACGGATCGTTTGTCGTCGAGAGGTGCTCTCTCACAGCTCGCTGTTCCTCCCTGGCTATTCCTGATGCGCTCCTGCAAAATAATTCCCTCGTCGCCTCGGTCTGATATTCTTCGGCTGCTCGTTTGACACTAAACGATACCCACCGTGCCGGGCCGTTGATTGGGGTGGTCAATTGACGAGTCTCTTGTGCTGGGAGTGTTCCCCAATTGGATTGATTACCGCTTTTCGTTGACTCTGTTCAGAGAGAGTCTGCTTGAGACCTGAACTCGGACCCCTCATAAGTCATCAGACTTTGAGAAAACATCCAGTTTAGCGGTTCCCCCAACGGGATAGCCGGGCTGAAGTTTACTGAAGGCAAGCTCAAGGGATCTCCCCCGCTTCAACACTTTTCTACCTGCTCCGGCTTCTTGAGCGCCCCGGAGCTGCCTACAGAGCCCTCGTCGCGAGATTCGAGTGTGAGCGAAACTCCAGTCGCTTTCTTCTTTTGAGAACCGACTTCTGAAGAAGTCGACCCTACAATGAGAAAGTGGTGAAGTCGAACCTCGTTCTGCCATGACGGATGGCTGTCAGCCGCACCGAGGACTGACACAGACTGATAATTCTTCCTTGAATGTTTCGCTTCGGGTTCTCCTAGCGGTGCTTCGGAAGGCGGAATGCTTCATATTCCTTCCTGCGCCCTTCATGGAATGATATTCAGCGAACGAATGCAGCTAAACCAATCGAATTCAATCGAGCTCACGTGAATGCTCATTATGTGATACAGGGGGACAGGCAGCCGCTAGCCGTCGGGAACCCGATATATAACAACGGAGGAGCTTCACAATTCTGACCACCGAATCAGAGCATGCTCCTCGTTAGGACTCTCGCGAGACGTCTGGAGTCTTGACTCCAGACGTTGAGCATCTTCCACAGCTAGTAAAAACTGCCAGAAATTGTTCACTGGCTTTCTGGTTCGCGCTCCGCATGCCTTGCCTTCTCCACTCGAGTGTTCACTTCGTAGAAGAGCCTCTGATGTGAGCGAGCGCAAATATCCTTTCCGATTCAATTCTCCCCCATCGAGTGCTGCTTGCTCTTTCCCTTATGGGTTACAGTGTTCCGTGGCGAACTCCGGGCAGGGCGGAAAACCTCACTCTGTTCACTCAGCATCCACTTCTATGACATTCTAAGGTCCCGCGGAATGGTGCACAGAAATGAAGAGACGATTCTCAAATTCGCACTCTACATCCGCTTTCCCCACCGAGTAAGGAGAATTTCATCGTCCCGAATGTCATATCCAATTATGTCAGTTCCCGGTCGGCAGACAGAGCTGCCGACACCGAGGGAGCGATGAGGCCTCATTTCACTGCCTTCCGGGGTCTACCTGTCCAACTGACGCACGAGAAGTCTCCACTCGGAGCTCACGGATATTTGCTGGCGCTGCTTTTGACCATGACCATCCTGGTGTTCGCCCTCGTTAATTTCGTCTGATCCGGGACGAATTGCGTCAATGTTACGGATCGCAGGTTCTGTACGGATGCGGTCCCAGGAGACCACTGTGACTAATTACGCGTCACCTCGTGCCCCGGCTCGGTTCGTTCGAGAGTAGTCATCCATGAAGTCCAAATCGGAGAGGGGAGTCCGTAGCCGCAGACAATGTGATCCGTCTCCATCTACTTCTGCTGGGCAGGATGCATGTGGCACCGAAGTTTTTGGTGACCCAGCGAAAGCTTGATCCTCTTGGATTCGATCCCGGAATTTTGGTTCTGAGGCGCGAGACTCCGAGTACAATCATGATTGATTTCCCGTCAGAGAAATTTTCAGGAACTCCGAGAATAGGGCGGTGGCGCTTGCGAGCACTTCCTATCGGAATTCCCAGAGCGTGTTGTCCACAGCTCATTCTACATACATACAGGGGATTCGCCGCGATTGATACAGAGAGTGACGAGCTGCAAGTGAAACTTTTATCTCGCGAGATGATGATCCGCTCCGAGCTCACATTGGTAATCGCTGAGGCAGGACCTCGATCGTCGGTGTACGCATCAGTGAAAATGCATCAGGTCACTTCATCAGACTTGTGACGTACGGGAGAGCGTCCAGGATGATATCACGATCTCTCCGAGGATGTTATCGACAGAAACCTGGCAACACGACCAATTTATCCAGATGATGGACGAATCACGAGTTTCGATTCCGTGCAGAAGTCAGTAAGAAGCTGCGGAGGTGTCATTTCCAATTATTATCCACGGTACTTCGATGATTCAACGCTTGCGATTCCACATCTCGTTAGCGATAACGGTGAATATCGGATCGGGGAAGGCGGAACTTTTCGCGCAGCTATAATGACGGCTGCCACGGTGCCGCGCCGTCTGATCGTTGTACACGTCGACGTGGCGGAAAATTCTTCCCAGGAATGAAGAGAGACATGAGTAAATTGGACCGGGCTCCGTCTTGCGAGTGACTCCCGCTCCAAGCACCTCATCCTGAGGAGAGCTCGCTGCTCGCAGGGAAGCAAATCATTGAACCGCAGGACCCGAATTTATCGGTTTGGGAGTCCATGTCCGACTGTTGCAAATGTTGATAAATGCTCGAATCCTATTGAGCTAGCTGCGTGCCTTCTCGGATCATGGAGCCACAATCGAGAGGGCATGCGCTGAATGCCCCGTGCCATGAACATAGCTCGTTGACTTCACGGATGGTTTGCCTCGTAGCCTCCTCCATGCAGGAGACGAGCAACGGAGCTGCCAGGGACAACTCTTATATACGCCGGCCTTGGAAACACTTGAGTCTGTCCCGACAAGATAAACGAATTAATTAAGAACTGTCCGAGAAAGACAGCTCCCCCGGCCACGCCTTCATCGAGATCAACAAACGATTCTTTCCGCCAGTGGGGGATTGCTGCAGGGCACGCGAGGGGAAAAAGACTCGTTGGGCTTCTCTTGTCTTCTTCCAAAGGGGAAAGGTCTCAAGAATCAGGGATGGTCTCTCTACATAGCAGTCCTTGAGCTTAGTCCGCGTAGCATGCCAATGTTCACGAGAGTATTGCATTCAGCGGTTGATATCGCCTTCCGAATGATCCCGGAACGGACACTTCCGAGCCCGAGGGGGACCTCGGAGAGCTCGAAGAACCCGTGGGGTACTGGGTCGCCCGTGAGCGTCATTCCGGGATTTCCTTACGGAGCCCGGGCACATCGAACAGCG